AAAGAAAAAAAAGAAAAAGAAAAAACGGGAAGTCACTGATTCTAGGAGTGACCCGATGTCCTGATTCTCAAACAGATTTTCAGATTATTCCTTGGAATCCATTTCTGTCTCCTAAGGTTACTGTGACTGTACACCTGGACACATCTTTTTTTTTTTAATTGAGATAATTCACATACCATAAAATTCACCCTTTAAAAGGGCACAACTCAGTGTTTTTCAGTATATTCACAAAGTTGTGCGCCCACCACTGCTATGTGGTTCTGAACATCTTCAATACCCCAAAACGGATACGTCTACTTCACAGAGCTACAGGATTCCCGGTCTTTTAAGGAGCAGCAGCTATTTTGCTACTGGGAAAACTTGTGATGGTGAGACAGAAAATCATGGGGTTGGTCTAAGGCAAGGTACAGTGTTAAACAGAACTGTACTTTCTCTAGTTACATTATATACTTAGCAGTACACCTTCAACCTTCAAAATGGCCATAAACATACACCTTAAAAGGCAACATGCATACTTATAGCTATAGTTAAGGAAATACAGTTTGGTGGTAAAGAAGAAGATTCTGGAAAACTCTCCTAGGTGCCTGCACCTTCAGAAGGCGGCATGAGGAGCCTCTGTCATCCTGGCTCCTCTTCCATCCTGGCTGTCTGCCCCCAGCTTTCTCTTCCTCCACTTGCAGACACCAGCTCTAGGATGAACCCTCCCAAGAGGACTGTGCAGCCCCATGAGCCTCAAAGAGCATGGAAAGCCTGCCATGGGCTGGTGTCACCCTGCTCCCAGGCCGCACTTCCAGGAACAGGTTCCCGGCTTTGCTCTGTACACTACAGCCCCACGGTGTTTCTAACTCAGGAAATCCAGATAGCTGACACCCTGGCCTACCTTGCTTTTGCTGATCCCCTGGTGACTTGGCCGTCAATACCGCAGCCCAGACTGGCTCTGTCTTCCTGACTCCCAGATTCCAAGCCTCTGAGCTCCACCTTGGGCTCAGTTTCCGGTTAGCCTGTGCTGGCCCCCCTTCATGCCAATCTCCCTCTGCCTGGCTGGCGTGCTGAGTACACTCTCTGCATGGCTTGTGTGTGTGTGTGTGTATGAATGAATGAATACTTTTCAACCCTTCCTAGTCTGACCCTTACTTTTCCCTAAGGAATTCTAGTTCCCCAGGCTGCTCAAGCCCCCACACTGGTCCTCTGGTTCTTCCCTTCCAAATGCTTAGAAGTTGGACCTGACTCCGTCCTCCAAGACCAAGACCCCAATGGTTGTGAGGTGGTGACTCTTATTAATAGCAACCCTAGTAAGACAGTCATTTGATAAAAACATGTTTCTGCCTAAATGTTACGAAAGTGGTCTCCCAGGAAATGGGGGGATTCAGCACAAGGCTACAGATTTTCAGTAAATGGGGTGATTGTGTCAGCCACCTACAGCCCCCCTTCTTTGCCCAGTATGTAGCAATGGAAGACCTTCGGTAACTGAGTTGAGATGTACAAACTTTTAGGTGTCTTGATTTTTTTCTGTTAGTCTTTAAGAGTGACTTGTTTCCTTCTAAAACAACAGAGCTTTTGAATCATAAGCTTTTTTTCATTAAGCCAATACAGTAGAAGCACTTTAAAAATTTTTGTGTTTAGGCTGAGTGGCTCAGTGGGTTAAGAGCTCGCTCAAGAGTGTGAGCTCTGAGCAACAGGGTCACCAGTTCGACTCCCAGCCTGAGCTGAGCTGCCAACAGCAGCCAACAGGTGGCAGGATGGCTCAGCTTAAAAAAAAAATTTGTGTTTATTGAATAAAGGATAGTACAACAGGCTATTGGGGAGTCTGCCTGTCAACTTCTCCCGGCCAGCCCTCCCACAGGTAACCATTGTCACCATTCTCTTGGGCACCATTTTGCAGAAGAACTGATGTGTGATCCATTCGGAGGACCACTGTCTACAACAGCTGTCTGGGAGGCCAGTTGGGGTCAGGTCTGTTTGTAGCACTTGCGTTTTGGGGAATACAGTTTGATTTATGGTACTTGGCAGTCTTATAAAAAAACAGCCATGGATTGACAGGGTCCTACTACAGTTCTCGATCAATAAGCTACAAAAATAATGTTTGTCCCACAGAGTGTATGTATCAATTAACCTTTGTTTTGTAAGAGATCGCCCCTGAATGAATAAGGAACACTAGAGAGTCTGTTTATAGCAAATATCCTTTACATCCACTCCCCATATGAATTCCTTGGAAACTCTTTTTTCTTTTCTTTTTTTTTTTTTGTAAAAAAAGGAGTTAAAA